CATATATCTAATAATCTTTTTTGACCGCAAAATGGCTTTTTTTACTTTTTTGTAGAATCTCCGAAACTGCTGGACCTGCCTTCCCAAAAATGTAATCAGTTCTTTGTTTCGTCAGTACAAATAATGATCCGTTCTCTCAAAAACTAAATTGACCTGCCCCATTAATACAAATCGAATGTTATTTGAATTATTAAAATCGTTTGATCCGAAATCATAGACGAAAATTTGTATCCGCAGACACAGACACACACACACATTATATACAGTTTTTAAAGTGTCAAAATGTTCAGAAACCTTTGAAACGTAAAGATACATAAAAACTTTCATTTTCGAGTTTTTTTCGATTACCATAACATATTATAATATTAGTAGATATTATTATGGTTTTGTATAAATGTTTATGCATTGGAAAGAAATAAAATAGTTGTAATATTTTTTTCAATTGTTACAATCGACCGAAGGTTTTCAGACCTATTTATTTGAAGCAAAGATTTTTCGTCTAATAAAAATTCCAGTGATTGAAACAAAAAGTATTCTGAAGAATGTAGTAAATATGTGCTAGTTTTAACTAGATGAGGCATAATTTTATCTCAAAACGTTTGTAACATAATTAACGTATCACTAACTCTAATTATAAGTTAACATTATTTGGGGCTTTGCGTAAAGTTTCATGCTAACCACATGTACTATCAAGTCGTTGCCGCACGCACTACACCAATAATAGAGAAACGCGCCGTCGTCGCCCGTACTACTTGAATGCACCGTAGTCAGACTCCAAAAAACGCAAAGAATAAAAATGACAACAGTTGATAAATGATGAATTAACACAAGGTTAGTGCTAAAAATACTTCATAGATAAGAAAAATTTACGATGCATTACGCATGAAAACTAATATATGTCCATGTAATTAGATGACGCACTCATAGATAAATTTCGAACTATTATATTTTGCATACTCATAGATATTCCATATTTCTAAAACAGTTTGTGCATTATTGCAAAAGCACAATACTATATATATGTATATATATATATATATATATATATATATATATATATATATACTTATTAATCACCAATTCAAAGCTTCAAACTCTCTTATTAAACCGGCACATCATCTGCACGCCGCTTTATCCCGTACTATACGGAGGCGGTAACTGCACGACGCAGGGCGCTTCCAAATCGTTCGCATTAAAATCGCCTATCGCTTAAAAAAATTATTGGTTTTATTAGAGATACAATACACATTTTAGTGATAATTTGTGCTTTATATAGAAAGTTCTTTTAATTTTAATGCGCAGTTTATAAGATCAATTCTTAATAAAAATATATTTTATTCAGAGTTTGTTCATTAGTTATTTATATATAATTTTAAATCTCTAATATAAATAAAGATAATATGTATAATCCAAAATATAATATACCACGACAGTGTATTGGTGCATCATCAAATTGAAACAATGGTTTGATGAAGCTATAAGCACACTTGGAAAGATTCCGTATCAATATTACAGTATATAACACATGGAATCGATTTAGAATGAACAAAAACTTACTATTGCATCACATGAAGCACATCAAATATCGTACTAAAATCTAAACAACAGTATATTGAGTTTATTTTAGTACAATTTCTTTTCAACGTTGGCGTTGCCATGTTTAAAATTTGATATTTTTAATCATTATTTGTAATTTTTATTTTATACTTTTATATTAAAAAATATTTGTTTGTATTTAATATGTCGACTTAAAGTCGTGGATGTTCAATTATCATACTGTTCAAGTTCACCAAAAATTAATAAATGACTGACTACCATTATCTCTAAAGAAGCCGTTTATCTCTTGTTAAATTTATATCGTAGTTTATTTTCAGATTGTATCCTTCATAAAATGAAGAAAAATCCAAATAGATTGAGAATCCTCCCTTTTCTACCCCTCTTGAATGCGCCCATGCAATGGATCTACTGCGCGTGAGGGGTACACACAGAATGTGAGCTCAAAGACAAGAGGGAACTTTCAGAATTAGGGACAGGACAGAAATACCCCAAAACACTGTATCGTTTATTCAGTTTATTGATTATAAAAGTGTAACGGTACAACATTCTTATTATATCCACCATGCTAACACGTTTTTGTGTAAAATCAATGAAATGCACATTCGACAACTAAATAATGTATGTAAAAAACAGATAGTAAAGCAGGTCTGTCTGGGCATTTACAGTGCTTGCATATATGCTTATTTATATATACACGAATTCTTCAAATCTTATTCTGTCATTACATAATGCAAAAATATAACTTTCATGAACCTGCCGCAACCGTTTTAGCTTAATTTTTAATATAAAATAGGTATCGATCTAAAACATAGAATATGAAGTCCATGAAGTGAAATTTAATAATCAAAATGCACTGAAAAACTTAAATTAAAAACTTATTCAACAAGCCCCAATTATATAATAACATCGTAATATGATTAGCTGTTAAACTTTTCCCTACGAAAGTGCTTTTCGTAGAAGTGTCGCTGCTGTACGGGAACATTGTGCCCCTCAGTTGCACTACTGAGCGGACAGTCACAATGATATATTCTAAGATATTTCTATCATTATTAATAAAAATGTGTTAAAAATTAAAAATTACGCTACTAATTAACTATAAATTACAATAAAAGATTAGAATTCAAAGTGTTAAATCTAGAAGCAAAGGCAAACACAACATGTCGTCCATGGACGACATCCGTATGTCTTGTGGATGTCGTCCAGGAATGACATCCGTTGCTGAAGGGTTAATAAGCTTACTACAACCTAACAACAAATGCTAATTAATAGAATTAATGAAAAATCCAACAAATTCTAATTAATAGAATTAATGAAAAATCAAATAAATGCACTTATAATTAGATAAAATATAAAATAAAAATGCAAAATTGTTCAAATATTGTCACATTAAATTAAGCAACTGTCTCTGGAATTCGTATTCCACTCAAATTTAACGTTTATTATAACATTAATTAATAAAATCTTCAATTTCTCTTTCAAAAAATAAAAAATAATATAATATCCAATATTGAAATAAATTGCTAAAAAATACGCTAGATCATTACAAGTCATAAGATTGATCAGTTCGAAAGCATCGTTGAACCTTTAATATACCAATATGCGAATTATATTTGTTTTTATGTATATTATAAATATGTAAATAAACATAGAAACATAAAACAACATCAAACATATTGCAAAGAAAGTGTGCAAGAAGAATGCTGTTCATTGTTCCAAATTAGAAAGTTGCGCCTCCAGAGCAAAACAATATTTGTATGCTAATATTGTGATACAATAAATATCGTGTATCGAATTAATAATTAAAATGACTGATAAAATAAAGCAAATATATTATTCAACAATAATATATAATATGCAATTAATAAAAAAGCTGCATGTGTGTGAAACATAATGCATGTGTACTAGAATTCGACATACTTTGAAAATCGCCACGAGTTGAATTATCACACTAAAGCTTTTAATCTTTATGCAGTGATATAATAAATCCTCAATTATTGTTGTACTATATAGAGTTCCGCGTAGTATACAGTGTATTTTACGGCATATTCAATTATTAGTAAAACAACCTATTTTGATTATTGCAGCCATTTCAAAATTTTTACAAAAGTTGAATACCTGAAACAATTCAAAATTTAAAAAACTAAAATTTATCTGATATTTGTAATTTGCTTCAAAAAAAACAATACACCTCTAGGTTTTAAAACATTGCTGCGACCACATGTTACTGACAAACTATATCTAGTGTCGTAGTAGACTTCTTAAAATTAATATGTTGAGCAAGTTTCATTCATCAGAATTTGTCGTGGGGTTGGTTCTCCCTGTGTTGGAAACAAGATCTATGCTCCGCATGAGCATCAGACAGACTTCATTTATCGAATGGGCGGACGCATGCGCTCTATGGAGCATCGGTCGATTTTAGGGCTCTGTACCCCCAAAGGGTCCAATATTCAACCCCAATTAATAATTCATACCCAAACAATATTAAATGTTCATTGGGAATTACATTAGATATATAGAATTTTGAATATTAAAATTAAAGGCATATTCTCATATAAGGTTTTCCTTACTGATTTTCTTCGATTCACAATCTTCAAAAAAAAATCATCAAAAGTAGGCAAATTTAACCTAAACGTACCAAAATTGCAAAACAATACAACGAAGATGTACCGATTAACATTTTTTAATTTTTTTTTAAGAAAACAAAGATCGGAATTTCTCTCGAGATCATGAACTTCTCCTTCGAAGTTAATTATGCCTATTAGTGAATAAATGTGATTCAAAATTTGGAACCCGCATAAAAATGATGTAAATTTAAGCCGAAACAAATATAAATATGATAAAGACGATTATGAATGAAAAAACGAAAATGAAAATTCCAAAAAATATAATTCTGAATGTTTTTCTTTCAAAAGTTTTCAAAGTTTTCTGACACCTACTTCACATCTTTGAAGACGATTTAAACTTGATATTTCAAAAATTTCATAAACCTATTCCATAATAATTGCTAATATCGAAAAATTGGAAAAATTTCTATTATTGAAATTTTGTACTAAAATTTTATGGAATTTTATTTTCGACACGCTTATGTACATTTATGTCATTTGTTTTATTTGAAAAATTGAAAATGGAATCGTGAAGATTCACCAATTTGATAATAAATTCAATAACATATTCAGATATTTATGAACAATATGTGGCATGCGCTAGTCTAATACAAATATTCATCATTTAGTTGTAATATCTTATGAAACCAACCGATTTGTCGGATCTCGAATTTAAAACATATGAACAACTATGGTACCAGATTACCATATACAAGATTTTTATAAATCATATTTCTTTTATTTTTCATACCTTAACCAAAATAAATGGAATATCTAACTTATATAACAAAATAACAATAATTTAATATTCAGAAAAGAGAAGAGAAAATGCGAACTGACCTGCTACTATGCGCATTTTTCAAATCGAGCATCTCAAGCTGCAATTTTAATTGATCGTTTTCTGTTTTCAGGAGATCCCGCTCAGCTCTGATCGCCTCCAGCTCTGCCCTAAGTTCTGATATCAATTTCTCCTGATTTGAGTCCTCGCTCATTGTTACAGTTCGAGTTAGGTGCAAAACTTATATTGAATTTTCAACAGAAATAGGAAAATCTGAAAAATATATCATACTAAATAACATAATTCAGTATTTTATTCGTAAATTTACAACACAGTTAAGTGATTATTTATTTTTATTATATTTATTAAGAGCCTAATACTAAATTAATGTTTTACAAAATTTTACAAATTCAAATCGCACTACGCAATATAAAATAATCTAAATTATTAACTTCCCGAAGGAGAAGTTTATGTTTTCGACAGAAAATCCGACAGGCTAATTTATGTTTTCACTAATTTTTTTTTCTTTTTGAACAGTAATCAGAACCTTACGTCCTATGAGCTGTTGGGCTGAAACTTCTCCTTACTTCGTATTTTTTAGATGGTAACCCAATCCATCCATATTTGATGATTTTTTTTGTTATTAGAATTAATCTAATAGGGCTGACATTTTATTGGTGCAGCAATGCCGGGCAAGGGCTATTTTCACTTGGAAACATATTGCTATCTATATTTTCAAGTGAAAATCGTTGTCACTGCTGCCTGACAACAGGCTGCTCAAAGTGGGTATCGAATCCGGGACCTCTGAAACAAGTCCCGCCGCTCTTAACCGCTTACCTACGGGCGAGCCCGACACTAAAATTGAGAAAAAGTATGTATGTGTGAATGTGAGCCGACCTTTCATCAACGTTTTTATTTTTTTAAAAAATAAATGACAGAACCGATCTCGAAAGTTTAAAAACCATTCGATAAAACGCGATTACGACTCCGCGTTGACAAATTTTGCGAAAATTTGTTGAATTTTATAAATTAATTAAAATTTAGAATAATAGGCTACAATTTGAGGACATACAAAAAAGAACGTGTCTGTGCATTGTAATTAATATAATTAAAGATTTCATAATGTGTTTGAATGATATCAATTGAAAATTGCATTGTTTCGACTTAATTGAAAGCGAAAACTTGATTTTCGAAATAAACAGTTAAATCTAAATCTAAATTCCAATTTCGATTGATTAGGTTAATTATTACACCTATTGGGAAGTTTTTGCAACTTGCCCTATGGCAAAATGCCACTTTTAATTAGTTTATTTATTTTATCGGAAGATTAACTACATCATATAATTTATTTTGATTTATGGGCTCGCCCCTAGGTAAGCGGTTAAGAGCGATGGGACCTGAATCAGAGGTCCCGGGTTCGATACCCACTTCGAGCAGCCTGTTATCAGTTGGAAATATAAATAGTAATATGTTTCCAAGTGAAAATAGCCCTCACCCGGCATTGCTGCACCAATAAAAATACTCGCCCTATTACAGAAATTGTAATAGTAATATATCATATAGAGATGTGACAACTGATTGGGTTGCTATCTGACAAACAGACTAGTGTTTAGTCAAATCAGCACAACAGTTTATAGCACTATTGGGTTCTGATTGCTGTTCAAAAATAATTTAAAAAAATTTTGATTTACATTTTAAATAGAATTATTTACAGTAGTTACCTCAGTGAATACAAATACTAGATCAAATTAATAGGCCATATTTTTAAATTCCCGTAGGGCAAGTTATAGTAATCGCAAAAAAAAATCGAAAATGAACATTTTTATATATCTTTACGTTTCAAAGGTTTCTGAATATTTTGATATATCTCAGAAAAAATAGATGTATGTATGTGTGTGTGTGTATGTATGTATGTGTGTGTGCGGATACAAATTTTCGTCGACGATTTCGGGAACACCGATCAACCGATTTGAATAATTTTACTAGTGGGGCGCATGGCATCGTGCCTTAAGGCAAATTGCTGGAACTTCCCGTACCAACAATTTTTTTTAAAATATTAACATTTTTGAAAAAAACTTACTCTGAAAAATTAGATTTTTGAGAAAATATAAATTTTTGACAAAAATTTATTTTTTTTTTTAGAAAAAAAGACTTTGAAGAAAAGTGTATTTTGAAATATTTTGGAAATTTTGAACTTTTTTTCAAATATCGAAGCGCGTAAGCGCCGCGCCGCCGTCTAACTATAACTTACCCTACGGGAAGTTAAAAAACATTCGATTCGTATTGATAAGGAGACGTGCTGATTAGTTTTTGGCGAAGGCAGGTCTAACCGTTCCAAAGATACAGGCCAAAAAGTGCTAAAAATGGTAAATCAGTTTTTAAGAGAACGTAGCGCCCGATTTTAATACAGTAGAACTCCAATTATCCGAATTAATGGGGACCGGGACCGATTCGGATTATCAAATATTCGGATAATCGGAGTTTTTTTCAAAAAATTGCCATTGGAGAGAAAACAAGTTACGATTTGATATTGCACTATTTTTTTATTGAATTAAATGAAAGAAACATGATATTTTCACATGTTGTAAATAATAAATAAAATAAAATAAATGTTTTAAATAATATATAGAAGCCTACACTGGCTTCGCGGGTGGAAGAATAATAGCCTACTTAGACTTTTTTGGACAATTTTTTTTCTGAAAGTGATTCGGATAATCGGCAATTCGGATAGTCGGAGTTCGGATAATTGGAGTTCTACTGTAACTCAAAAAACATTTTATTTGTATTGACAAGATGAATAACTGATTAAATTTTTGGAAAGGCAGGTCTAGCGGTTACGGACTCTCAAAAGTTAAAAAAGTGTCATTTGGCGGTCAAAAATGTTTATTAGACATATGTACATCAAATTATCAATATAAAAGATATTTTATAGAGACTTTAATATTGTGTACACATTTTGTGTAATTTTTTTTAGGTTCCGTACCAAGATTTTCAATTTTGAAGTTTATTTATATGGTTCAAACAAATGTGCTTGACATTTTCGACAGTATGGAATAACCAATTTATAAAATTGAAAAATCATTCGGTTCGTACTCAATCGCGAGGCGTTTTTGCCGCTTCGGAGCCTCCGAATCGGAGGTATGAAGCGCAAAGAGTGTAAAAACGGTTATGCAGTTTTTGAGAGAACGGATCATCCGATTAGATTGATTAACAACATTTTGCTTGAGTAGACGGTGTGCAAAAAATGCATTTACAAAAAATTTAGTAATTTTGAAAATTTTCAAAAATTTCCAAATTCTCAAAATATTTAGAAAAAACGTTTTTTTCAAATTCCTAATAAATTCAAACTTCTAATAAAAATTCTAAATTATCAAAAAAATCAAATTTAAAAAAAATCCACTCTTGTAAACGTACACATAAGTTGTTCATAAAATACGCTCGTTGCCCAATTTAAAAAGCACTTATAAGTTTACAGTATGTAAATAAATAATCTGTTTGAAATTATTTAAAATAATTATTGATTATTTTCATTCCTCGAATGTTTAATTACGGTACGGAAAGTTCAAGCAATTTGCCATGCCATGCGTTACTAGTTACAATTCAATTAATAGGCCATACAACAACCAGCGGAAGGGTGATTTTATAGTTTGTAATGACGATTAGTTGATTTTGTTCTTATAATATCTTCAATAAATGACACATTAAGATTAAGATCATCGTACAGAGTCGTATTGCAAACATACGAGATTGCACCTAACATCATTCTGAGTAGTTTTGATTGAATCCTCTGTACCAACAACGCTACACGTTAGATTTGCTAGAGTAGCAACAAAGCTCTATTCCATATGACTAAATAAATATCATTATTGTTTTGTATACCAATATTTTATTTTCAGGAGCTTAATCTGGATTTGATAAATTTTATTTTTGTTGTGATATGGCATTTTCAGTTGCGTCAACAATCAATTTTTTTTTTTTTTTTTATTTCTCTTTATTGAATTACAATCTGTTTTTACAAAAAGGAAGACATTCAGTAATTTCGATGATATATGAAATATTAAACCTTAGATCTAAAAGGTTACCCAGTAGTAAACCTTTTCAATAACAATCAAAATGAATTTCAAAATGTTTTACTCTAGGGCAAAATTGCAAAATTTTCCGATTTCTGAATACGATGTCAGGATTTGCTGATATTCAGAAGAAAGAAACATGAAGATTTTTGTAATAATGCCTTCGTCAAAACTTCGTTTGACATCTAGGAAGACACCAGAGCGATATTGTTTCAATTCAAAAGCTTTATTGATATGGTCGACAATTCTGCGGCAATGTTGTGAAGTAGAGTGTTGCTTCTTATGAGTTGGAAAGAAGTCAGTAGCAAACAGTGTATCTTATTGAAGCAGAAAATTTTCCAGTAGTTTGGATAGTATTGAAAGTAAACTTGACAGGTCAATAACCAAATTGGGATATCTTTGCCGTTCTTAATTTGGCGAGTATTTTATTCTTAAAATAGCATTGAAGATGTAGTTGATAAAAATTTGTCGATTCTCCGGCAGTTTCTTGGCCATCTTAGGAGTAATTAAATCGCAACCATCACAATCGTAGAAAGCGATTTTCTTGATATATTTTATTACTGCATTCCAAGTAGTGGATGCTCAAATTAAATACAGGATCGTCGATGAATTGAAACTAGGATCAGGATCATTGATTAAAATATAGAGATTAAATGAAATCCAAAGAGGTCACTTTTTTCTCTATCACTCTTGGCTCAAAATTGACCGTCTATTAACCGCAACAACCCGATTTTAAAACAAAGCTTAAGGGTATTCCTAATCGGTTTCCAAATAGACTATATCGATCAAGAGTAGGCACATAATGTAAAGCACTTGTCATTCAATTCGCTCAATTTTAATTTTACTTTATTACTTCAATTATTAGGAATATTTTTGTCAGTTATTAAATGGCTATTTTGCCACCTGTGCCTAGATTATGTTTTCAAAAATTAATCAATTACACTGCGCGACAAAAATAGCACTTTTATTTTTTCTTCGAACTTTCTTTTTTAAATCCACTTAGAATAGCACGCTGATTTCAAATATACCTTCCGATTTTTCGTAACAGCTCCAGTTTTTGAGTTTTGGGGGACTACCCCAATTAATCATTTCGACTATAATTATTGTAGTTTAAAGAATAAATAAGAGTTTTATCTGCTTTGACTCTAAGACGTTGTGTGCATAATTCAGATAGTTTTGTTAGGTAATGGTATTACATCTGTG